AGAATTCTATGTCTTAAAGAAAAAAGAATTCTATCTGTAAGACTGGTAATAGATGATAATTGGCCGGGCGCGGTGGCTCACGCCTGTAATCCCAGCACTTTGGGAGGCCAAGACGGGCGGATCACGAGGTCAGGAGATCAAGCCCATCCTGGCTAACATGGCGAAACCCCGTCTCTACTAAAAGATACAAAAAATTAGCTGGGCGAGGTGGCGGGCGCCTGTAGTCCTAGCTACTCAGGAAGCTGAGGCAGGAGAATGGCGTGAACCTGGAGGCGGAGCTTGCAGTGAGCCGAGAACGTGCCACTGCACTCTAGCTTGGGCAACAGAGCAAGACTCGGTCTCAAAAAAAAAAAAAAAAAAAAAGTTGATAACTGAGAATTAAAGTTCTTAGAGGGAGTAGATGGACCTTTGAAAGAATATTGTCTTGTTATATCTGGTATAAATTCATCTTAGCATAGATAGGATATTAGAAAAATGAAATAAGTCACATTACTCTCTTTTTAAAAATGTGGAGTCAACCAGGCGCGGTGGCTCACGCCTGTAATCCTAGCACTTTGGGAGGCCAAGGCGGGTGGATCACAAGGTCAGGAGTTCAAGACCAGCCTGGCCAATATGGTGAAATCCCGTCTCCACTAAAAATACAAAAATTAGCCGGCATGGTGGTGCATGCCTGTAGTCCCAGTTACTCAGGGGGCTGAGGCAGAAGAATCTCTTGAACTGTGGAGGTTGAGGTTGCAGTGAACCAAGATCATGCCACTGCACTCCAGCCTGGGTGATACATGTGAAGCATTTTGAACTGTTCCCAGCACATAGGAAGCACTCATTAGCTGCTATGATAATCACTGTAACAGGACCAAGGCAGTACATAATAAATTCCACAATGAATGATAAAAACAAATCTAAGCCACTGGGTGTGGTGGCTCATGCCTGTAATCCCAATACTTTGGGAGGCCAAGGAGGGTGGATCACCTGAGGTCAGGAGTTCGAGACCAGCCTGGCCAATATGATGAAACCGTGTCTCTACTAAAATTACAAAAAATTAGCTGGGCAAGGTGGCAGGCACCTGTAATCCCAGCTACTCGAGAGGCTGAGGCAGGAGAATCAGTTGAATCCGGGAGGCAGAGGTTGCAGTGAGCCGAGATCATGCCATTGCACTCCAGCCTGGGCAACAAGGGCAAAACTCCGTCTCAAAAAAACAAAACAAAACAAAACAAAACAAAACGAAACAAAAAAAATCTAAGCATCTCAGATAGATCACTACCTGATATTGACTACCTATTCCATATGCCATCCTGTCTCTCTGATATCAGAGTTCCCAACCATCATGAACCAATTAGTCCCAGCACTTTGGGAGGCCAAGGTGGGTGGATCCCTTGAAGTCCAGGAGACCAGCTTGGGTGATATGGTGAAACCCTGTCTCTACAAAAGACACAGAAATTAGCTAGGGGTAGTGGTCCCAGCTGCTTGGGAGGCTGAGGTGGGAGAATGGCTTGAGCCTGTGAGGTGGAGGTTGTAGTGAGCAGAGATCTTGCCACTGCACTCCAGCGTTTGTGCCAGAGTGAGACCCTGTCTCAAAAAAACAAACCAACAAAACTCCCAGGTAGGTCTTTTGTAATTCTTCCTCTCTCCCAAATTCAACATGCTGCCCTCCACCCCTAAGCCTGTCTAGATCTATTAACTTCATCTATATTACTTGGATGTTTAGTGGTTGAAGACTTGTGTGAACAACAATCTCATTTATCCTTTATGGGTGTTAATGTCCGATGAGTAATTTTTACCTTAGTATTGCAGTCAGATTTGTTTTCATTGGGTATCTAGCCAGAAATCAGATATAATAGGAAAAAAATGATTTTGTTGTTTGGGAGAGAAATAAGTAGTTTTAAAATGTGGAGTATTTCCTTTCTCAATAGAGATTTTTCATTGGGATGTCAGGCAGCATAACATCCTTTGGGATGGGAAGAAGGGACAAAGAGACAAGTGATAGGATGTCAAAATTTATTTCATCTTTTAAGTGTTATATTCATCCATATAATTGTGGATGAAGCAAATTTGGGGGAAGGGTCAAGCTAGGAAGCTACCTACCATTTATTATACTTTTTGTAAGAAGAGGAATTCTAGGTTGCAAATAATAAACAGTATAAAAGTCCCTTAAATTGTTTTTGGAATGCACCCCCCTTTTGTAAATTATGTAAACAGTAAAAGCTATGTAAATTCAGGAGAGATTTTTTTCAGCTGGGCAGAGTGGCTCACCCCTGTAATCCCAGCACTTTGGGAGGCCGAGGTGGGGATCACTTGATGTCAGGAATTCAAAACCAGCCTGGCCAACATGGTAAAACCCCATCTCTACTAAAAATACAAAAATTAGCCGGGCATGGTGATAGGCATCTGTAATTCCAGTTACTTGGGAGGCTGAGGCAGGAGAATCGCTTGACCCTGGGAGGTAGAGGTTGCAATGAGCCAAGATTGTGCCATTGCACTCCAGCCTGAGTGACAGAGCAAGTGAGACTCCATCTCAGAAAAAAAAAAAAAAAAGATTTTTTTTTTTGTTGAGGGTTGTAGTACAGAAGGAATCAAGGAAAAAAAATAGAGCTTGAGCTGGATAATCCTTTCTAATATTTGAGTAGTGGGAAAGTGAAGAAGTTAAAGGTGTGGAGTGAGGGCATGTCTGATACCTGAGGAAAAGTGGAAAGTAGTAGAAGATGAGATTGACTTAGTGGTATTTCAACTCTCTGGCTGAAAAGTCTGAATTATTTTCCTATGGAATAAATAGTTTTCTTTTCTTTTCTTTAATTTTTGGTTTTTCGAGACAGAGTCTTGCTCTGTTGCCCAGGCTGGAGAGCAGTGGCACGATCTCGGCTCACTGCAAGCTCCGCCTCCCGGGTTCACTCCATTCTCCTGCCTCAGCCTCCCGAGTAGCTGGGACTACAAGCGCCCACCACCACGCCTGGCTAATTTTTTTGTATTTTTAGTAGAGACGGAGTTTCACTGTGTTAGCCAGGATGATCTCGATCTTCTGACCTTGTGATCTGCCTGCCTCAGCCTCCCAAAGTGCTAGGGTTACAGGTGTGAGCCACTGCGCCTGGCCTCTTTTTTTTTTTTTTTTTTTTTTGAGACGGAGTCTTGCTCTGTCACCCAGACTGGAGTGCAGAGGCGTGATCTTGGCTCACTGCAACCTCCACCTCCCGGGTTCAAGCAATTCTCCTGCCTCAGTCTCTTGAGTAGCTGCGACTACAGGCGCCCGCCATCACGCCTGACTAATTTTTGTATTTTTAGAGAGATGGGGTTTCACCATGTTGGCCAGGCTGTTCTCAAACTCCTGACCTCAGGTGATCTGCCCACCTTGGCCTCCCAAAGTGCTGGGATTACAAATGTGAACCACTGGGCCCGGTCAGAAATAGTTTTCTTTAATGCTTAATATAATACACTGTAAATATAACCCCAAAGTATCTTCCTTCTTCAGTATAAGCTAGTTGTGTGACATTTTACACTTTTATTTATTTACTTATTTATTTTTATTTATTTATTTTGAGACAGTCTTGCTCTGTCGCCCAGGCTGGAGTGCAGTGGCGTGATCTCAGCTCACTGCAACCCCTACCTCCCAGGTTGAAGCGATTCTTCTGTCTCAGCCTCCTGAGTAGCTGGAATTACAGGCATACGCTACCATGCCCAGCTAATTTTTTGTATTTTTAGTAGAGATGAGGTTTCACCATGTTTGCCAGGCTGGTCTAAAACTTCTGACCTCAAATGATCCTCCTGCCTTGACCTCCCAAAGTGCTGGGATTACAGGTGTGAGCCACTACACCCAGTCTGTTATGCTTTTAAGAAATGGATTAACCTCTAAATCGTTTTAAAAAACAGAACCTGGCCGGGCGTGGTGGCTCACGCCTGTCATCCCAGGACTTTGGGAGGCCGAGATGGGCAGATCACTAGGTCAGGAGATCGAAATACAAAAAATTAGCCAGGCATGGTGGTGGGCGCCTGTAGTCCCAGCTACTTGGGAGGCTGAGACAAGAGAATGGCGTGAACCTGGGAGGCAGAGCTTGCTGTGAGCCGAGATTGCACCACTGCACTCCAACCTGGGTGATGAGCAAGACTCCATCTCAAAAAAAAAAAAAAAAAAAAAAAAAAATGGAGCCTGAGGTTTCAAATTTGAGAAACTTTCCACTCTGAAAATCATTTTACGTGACAGGATTTTTAGCGATACATGACACCATAGTCTAGCTCTATTAAACACTATAACAATACATTCTATAGGGCTGGAGTTTTAAAGAGGAAGAAAACCTTTAAAGCACTGTATTATTAAGCATGGCCTGAGGTGGACCCAGTGCCTTAATCTCATTTTACTTCTGCAGTTTGTTTTGTAGATCAAAAAGATATTACATTCCCCCATCTGTAATACTGAGTGGAAAGTAAATGGAGAGAGTAAGATAAACTTTACTGAGAATTGTACAGAAACACATTCTGTAAAGTAACAGCTGGTTGTATGAAATTTCTGTACATTTTTCAGGGGAATCTATGAAGAGAGAGAGAGAGTGTGTGTGTGTGTGTGTGTTTAGGGGGAATGTGTGTGTAGTAAGAAATTCAGAGTGACCACTGCATGGTACAGTTTTTAGTTATTTAGAATGAATAATTTTTTCTTATCTGGTGGTAAGATAAAGTACAAATGAAGATTTACAAATCAGTTTTTTAAAGTACTCTATGTCTGATATACATAATAGGCTCCAATATAAACCCTCATAAGACTTCTGAAACATCCATTGTATCTGTTCCAGTGGCTGCCACATCCAGTTAAATTTCTTTTTAAGATTGTGATTTAGCTTGTACTTCATAAAGGTTTTTTTTTAAAAAATATAGTGTTTGCAGTCAAGTTGAACAGTATCTTCATATCAATTAAATAATTCCAAGAATACATAGAAAAGCTTTGTGTGAATTTTTTTTTAATTTCTAAATTCACCATTTTGATACAAATACCCATGGTTTTCTTCTATGTTTACATGCAGCCAGGAGCTATGGGCGGAGACGAGGTAAATTTTTTTTTTTTAAATGAGATCTTTTGCTTGCCAAATTGTGAGTAAATATGAGTGTGTTTATGTGTGTGTGTATTTATACCTGTGTGTGTGTAAAACAATAATTATTATATGGTGTGATGTTTATCTTATTTTAGCAAAATAATTTATCACTTTCATTAAAATTACTTTTTGTTGTTAGTCGGTAATTTGTTCTTTTAATTATAAAAAAGATATAGCAAAGACTATTTCTCCTTAAAGTTTTTTGTTATATAGCTTATTGTGAATAAACATGAGGAAATAAAGGCCAAGCATATGTATTTTTCTGCCCTGTATTCATTGTGTTCTTTTCATACAACTTGGAAGGCAGAACTTGGTTTTGGAGGGCAATTTTTGATCTTATTAGGTTGGCTGGTGAATTTTTTTCTGTTATATTCAGAGTCAGATTTACCCCGGAGGTAAATGAAGCTTAAGTTTCAGGGCCTCTCACTTGCTTAGACTCCTTCCAAAGTCTACCTAATTTTTGTGTTCTTTTTCTTAAAGAGGGACCCCAAAATAGGCTTTGGTCCCCATAAAACCTGCATTCTCTCCTGGTTATACCCAAACGAAGCAATATGACTTTCATTTGTGTAATGCTGTAACTGTTCTAAAGCATTTCCTATATCTGTAGTTTTTTCAAATAATTTTACGAAGTAGCTAGGAGAAGCCGGATGTAGTAGAAAGCATATGGGACTTAGGGTCAGACACGTAGGTTGTAATCACTGACTTATCATTTAGATTTGGTATGCTTATCTGTAAATTATGAGGTAATAAAACCAGTCTTGTCCTACTTCAGAGTATTAGTAAAGTTCTAGTTTAAAAAAAAAAAAAGGGAAATGAAAAGCTATCCATGTAAATTAAAAGTATTCCAGAAATGTAAGTTACTTTGGTGCTCATTTGCAGAAGCTGAAGGAGAAGTAGTAATTGACTTGCTGTGTGACCAAGTTAAAGCCAGAGTCAAGATCACAATCTGTGTCTTTTGGCTCTTTATTTGCTAATGTTTACCATTCATCAGGCTGTCTCTGACTTTGTAGTTGAGTCATGAAGAGAAGATAATGATGCTAAATTCAGAGTATTTTATTATGCTATTTAAAAAAATATTACAAATATTTTCTGCCTATGCTTATCCAAACAGTACTTTTATCATTTCTTTCGCAGCAAATATTTGTTGAATGAGTGACTATTGGCAGAAGCTAATATGTATGTACAGTGGATCATACAGTCCTTTTGCTTTTCATCATCATGTGGAAAAACATTTGTGTAAATGATTATTTTCTATCCATGGAAATAAATATCATTAAATTTTATTGCCTTCTTTTTAAATTTAAAAAAGTTAAAGCCTAGAAATAATGTTATTAAGACATATTTTGTACCATATTTGTTTCATGTTGCTAGAAAAATGATCGCTGTCAGGAAAAAAAGGAAATGCACTATTTTATATAGAAAATAGACACCATCTGGAGAATAGACAGCAGGGACTGACTTTTCCTCTTCTCACGTGCTAATCAGTCACCAGATCTTTTCAAGTTTTTCCCTCTCGTTTTCTCAGGTTTTGTCCTTCTCATTTCTGCTATTTTTGTTTCTCCTGTTCCATTTCTACAGCTTCATCTTTCTGAAACACCACTTTGTCTATGTCAACCCCATTGTCAATTCAGGGTCCCCATGATCTGGCTTCTGCCTCTTTTACCAACGTCATTATCTTCATTTTTCTCACCTCATCTTCCCCTGACCAATCTATTTGCTTTCCCACTGTCTGGCCATACAGGTCACCCTTCCTCTCATCTATGTATCTAAGGACTATCCTTATTTTACTAGTTCAAACCTAACCCTTTCCAGGAAGCCTTCCCCAGTTTCTTACAGACTGTGTTTTCCTCTGATTCTGTTGTCTTGCATTTTTCCTGCCTTTTCTGTATGCCCTGATTCTTCAACTGGGATAAGTTCTTTGAGGATAGTTGTCTTTAGTGCCTAACACTGGGCCGTATGTATAGTTAGCACTTATTAAGTGCTTATTGATAAGGATTATTTTGAAATAACACCCTACATTTATGCAGAGCAGAGTTTGGCATCATATTTTTTAAAAATTATTTTATTTTTATAAATAATAGCATATTAATACTATACATCAAGAATATAAAGTCACCTATAGTTTCTAAGCTTCTGAAAAAAATACTCATCCTTTTTTCATTTTACTTTCTCCCTATCTATTTGTGAGGTTGATTTTCTTGTTCTCAGAAGTCACTGTCTTCTTAGTATGAGGTGCTATACTAAATATTTCCTAGAATGACTTGGTCCCTGCTCTTGGTCTGCAGTTTGATAGGTATAGATGAAGAAGAGAATGATGAGAGAGAGAAAGAGAGAAGCACAAATGCTAAAAGACTGAATGTTGGCTTTCTGTAATAAAAAAGAATGGACAGAAAATGTTTTGTCCATGTTTTCAATAAGTATTTCATTTCCAAAGCTGAAAAAGAAGTCATCTTCCTTAAATGTAATGATATAACCATATGGGATGAAGTATGTCTAGATCTCATATCTAGAACGCTCATTCTCTGAAATGTATTCATTTGAGCCAACTCTGCATAATATACTTCTGAGGAATTGGCACACGTCCTCATGCTTATTTTTTCATGTGATCAGGGATTAAATTAATTTTTGATCCCTTTCCTCTAATTAACATTTAGACTTGCCCAAAAAGCATAAAAATTAAGCTTGCTGATGTACGTTACTTCCCTCTACCTATGATTAGGAATAGAACTGGAGCTATAGCTCATTTTCTACGTGTTACATAAACACATTGGTAAATTTTTTTCTTTTTTTGAGACAGAGTCTCACTTTGTTGCCCAGGCTGGAGTGCAGTGGCATAATCTTGGCTCACTGCAACCTCCGCCTAATGGGTTCAAGCGATTCTCCTGCCTCAGCCTCCCAAGGAGCTGGGACTACAAGCTTGCACCACCATACCTGGCTAATTTTTGTATTTTTAGTAGACATGGGGTTTCACCATATTGGCTAGGCTGGTCCTGAACTCCTGGCCTCAAGCCATCCGCACGTCTCCTAACATGCTGGGACTACAGACATGAGCCACCGCACCTGGCCATGTTGGTAAATTTTCTAGGAACAGAAAAAAAGGGAATGTAATGTATGTGAAAGTTTTGAGTTCTATTGGCCAGTGAACTTTTACACCTCTCCTGATAAGTGTGAAAAGTTTCCTGGGATAAGTAGTATTTCAGGACCTATTTGGATAATGGAATAGGAATGGGAAGCAAGACATTCTAGTATGTATTTCTCCTTAGAAGAAAGCTTAAAGATGAGATTGCCATGACCAGATGCTTAGAGTACATATCTCTGAGTGTATGCTGTGGGGCCAGCTGGAGAGGAGAAGCTGGTAGTAAGACGATCTATGCTGCCTTAATGAATGTTTTTGAAACAGAAGGTGAAACTCCTGGACACAGATATTGTCAGGCTTTAGAAAGAGGGTTTTATGATAAAGTAATGAAAGCAGGAGATAACTTGAACATCAGCTCAAGGCTTGGATGGGGGCATTGAAGGTGGACTCTTAGCAAACCAAGTGCTTCTAGTAATGTAGTTGAAGCAGTAATAATGAGAAATGAGAAGAATTATATGTAAAAGAATAAGATTTGAAAATAAATATCAGTTATGTATAGTTTAAAAATACCCAATTTATATCTATTTTTATTTTGTTCCAGTAGACAAACCTTGATTTCATTTGTGGAATAAGAATCACACCAAAGAATCTTACCATTTTTCTTTGGTAGTATTCTGCCTTTGATAAGCTTTAATATGTGTCTTCCTATACAACTGCAACCGCTGTTAGAAACTAGTCTACCAGGTAGTGTCACTTAAGACTTTTGCCTACACATTTAATATATGCTGTGCTTTTCATTTCACATGAGAATGAATTTTTATGGTCTCCATGAAACTCTTGTCCATAAGTGGACATGTTGGCTATGCCAGTATTTTTGATGTTTAACAGAATTTCCTAGTTATAGAGCAGTAAGGAGAATATGAAAGGTCCTTTTAACAATGCAAATGAGAAAATACAACTAGTCTACCAGGTAGTGTCATTTAAGATTTTTGCCTACATATTTATATTGTGCTTTTCATTTACATGAGTATGAGTTTTTATGGTCTCCGTGACACTCTTGTCCATAAGTAGACATGTTGGCTATGCCAGTATTTTTGTTTTTGTTTTTTGCTTTTTGAGATGGAGTCTCGCTTCATTGCCCAGGCTTGAGTACAGTGGCGCAATCTCGGCTCACTGCAACCTCCACTTTCCTAAGTTCAAGCAATTCTTCTGCCTCAGCCCCCCAGAGTAGCTGGGATTACAGGCACGCACCACCATGCCCGGCTAGTTTTTGTATTTTTAGTAGAGATGGGATTTCTCCTTGTTGGCCAGGCTGGTCTCAAACTCCTGACCCCAGGGGATCTGCCCACCCCAGCCTCCCAAAGTGCTCGGATTATAGGCGTGAGCCACCATACCTGGCTCATGCCAGTATTTTTGATGTTTAACAGAATTTCCTAGTTATAGATCAGTAAGGAGAATATAAAAGGTCCTTTAAACAATGCAAATGGAAAAATACAAAGAATGATTAGAGTTACTGCTATAAATGTACTCCTGCATATATTTAGTTCATAAAAATATATTGATATTAATTGGTTACTTAATTGATAACAAAAGTTCTAAAATCCAATCAGACAAACTTGTGTGCTGAGTTGAAGTTGAGTATTTCTGTCAAAAGCCTGCTTAAGGGAAGAGAGATCAGCTATTCCAGTGAGACCATGCTAGAAGCATACCATCCTGCTAATTCAAATCCAGTTGTATGAGCTTGCTTGTTTAAGGGTATGGATGATTCTAGAATAAAACATGGACATGAATCGGAGAATTTTCTGAATGTTCATGGTTATAATATCTGAAAATGTTACTGCTCATAGTAATAGGAAAATTTGAGCACAGACAATAGTGA